ATTATTATTATTATGTTTTTATAAAATTAAATATTTGTATATATATAAAAATATACAAAAAATATTATTTGATTATTTTTGTTTAAATGTTATAGTTCTATTTACTTTTATATTTATATTATTTTTATATTATATATTATTTTAATTTTTCTTATATAAATTTTACAATTTTTTATTTATTTCTTGTTATTTCATTTCATTTTATATAATAAGATGTATGTATAAGCATATAAATATATGTCAGAAGTTACAGGTATGGTTATTGATTATTCTATATTTACTGATATAAGAACTTAAATTAAATGGAGTATATTATATATATAAAATAAATACAAATTAATATTTTATATAGCCTCTATTATATAAAATTTATGTCTATCATTTTATTCTAAACTATTAATTGAATTCATTCTTTTATAATTATTTTTATATTGTAATATAGTTATGAATTCATTATACTATGAAATATAATATAATTGAAATTTAACAGTAATTCAAAATCATTCAAAATCTTATATAAATTTTTCTTTTTTTTTTAGATCACGTTGGAAAACACAAATTTTATGCTTAGTATTGGTATCTCTGATACTTGGAATTCTTTTTGTAATACGTGCATGGTTAGGTATTATTATTCTTCGGTCTTCAAGAACTGAAACATTTAATACAGAAACAACAGATAATGCCAAGGTTGCTACGTGGTTACGTCGGGCTCGGATGTACGCCGAATCGACGAAGGAGAACCAGAATGCGGACAGGAACAACAGCATCAGTTCGCCACAGCACTTCTACACCAATTCCTCAGGGTAAAAATATTATCTTTGAAATATATTCCAACAAAAAGTTACAAATATTATTATATTATTACCAAGAATTAAATACTAAAAGTAATATTATAGATAATAAAAGTTGTTTTTTTCATAGGCAGATCATTGTCTGTTATTACACCATATCGAGCGACCTGAACACGCTCTGGGAGCTCAGTCCGTCGAACATTGACCCTAATCTTTGTACGCATATTATCGTGGGTTTTGCGGGCGTGGTAAATTGTAGTCTCAATTTGGGTAATAATTCATCAATTTATAAAGAAGTTATTGCTTTGAAAAAGTTTCAACCTGAATTAAGGGTCATGATTAGCGTTGGCGGCAATAATGAGCTCCACTTAGGTTTTTCAGAAATGGTAAAAAATCATGCAAATAGAAAAAGGTAATTTTTTTTATTTTATTTTATTATATTTAATTATTTAAATATAAAATGAATTAAAAATGTTAATTTTATTTTATAGATTTATAAAATCAGTTTTAAATGTAACAAGAACATTTGGTTTTGATGGACTAGACATAGATTGGGAATTTCCTGCATGGCTTGGAGCTGATGAACGAGAAAAAATTCGTTTTATACAATTATTAGAGGAATTACGAAAAGAATTTTACCGAGCAAAAGAAACATTAATTCTTTCTGTTGCAGTAGCTGCTCCACAAGCTATTATTGACCAAAGCTATATGGTTATAGAAATGGCAAAGTAATCAAATGATATATTATTTTTTATGATATGAATATACTACATAATTAGTTTTCAATAAATTAATAATTAATTTTTAATTATTAACAATTATAATTAATAAGATATTTTAAAAAATATTTTCATTTTTCTATTAGTAATAATACAATTATTTTGCTCATATTTTCTATTGTGTGTGATAGAAAATATTAGAAAAATAATTTATATATCTATATATAAATTTTTATTATTTAGGTACATAGATTTTGTGAATTTGATGTCATATGATTACCATTTTTATGTATGGTATTATCCAATTACCGGACTTAATGCGCCTCTTTTCTCACGTGCTGCTGAATCTGGTTATCTTTCTACTCTAAATGTTAATTTTTCGGTTCATTATTGGCTTTCAAAAGGGATGCCAGGAGAAAAATTAATTATTGGAATTCCTACTTATGGCCATACTTATAGGTTAGATAATTCGCTGAATCATGGTTTACTTGCACCAGCAAATGGCTTCGGTAAATTAGGAAATATGGGTTTTGTTTCTTATCCTACAGTTTGTGAATTTCTTCGAAATGGTGCAGAAAGTGTTTTTGAATTTGAAAGCAAAGTTCCTTATGCTTATAAAGATAAGGAATGGATTTCTTATGATGATGTTACAAGCATCTCTTATAAGGTATGAATATATATTCGTAGAACATATATTCTTATACTATTTATAATAATTTTTGTATTTGATTTTTTCCCAACTATATTCTAGCATTTATTTTTTAAATATATTTCACAATATCTATATTATTTTATATTAAAAGTTTTAATAATTAATAGGGATTCTAATTAAATTTAAAGAATTAAATATTATAAAATTGAAATAATTTCATAAAGAAATTATGAAATATTCTAATAAATTATATTTTGTTTTAGGCTAAATGGATTCGAGCAAATAATTTTGGTGGTGCAATGATATTGTCTTTAAATGTTGATGATTGGAATAATACATGTAAATTTAATGAAAGCTTTCCTTTAACTCGTACTATTATGAAAATCCTCAGGTATCAAGAAAATTAATGCATTTCTGAAAAACTTTTTTGTTATAATTTACATTCCTCATAGAAATATTGCATTCCTAAAATATTATTATTATATATAAATTAATTATTATCAATTTTTAATTAAAATATTTAATCTTTCAAAATTATTATTAGTTCTAAAAATATTATTTAATATGGTATCGTAATATTACTTAATTTTATGAAAACACAAAAATAATTTTAAATTTACATATATAATTTTTCTTCTCTTTTAAAAGAATATTTTTCATTATATAAAAATTTACATTTTCAATTATTTGCATATAATATAATAAAATGGAATTATAATTTTAATTTAAAAATTAAATATTGAAATTATATATTCTTCTTCTTATTATTAAAATATAACTTATAGTCATATATGAAAAAAAATTAGAGATTAATAGTGGAAAATTTATTAATAATATATGTATATTGATTTTGAATGAAAATTCTTGTAATATAAATCTAATGATAAAGATTAATTAAGAAATTAATTTATTTGTAATATAAATATTTGTTAGAAATCTTTATGCGCAAATATTTATAGTATTTGATTAGATCACTTAAATGTACACGTTTTTGGAAAATTCTGTAAGTATATGCAAATGCTTTATTATGCATTTCAATAAAATGTTTTGAACAAAAATTAATTATCAATTGCTTATATATTTGAATATTAAAGATTTATAAATAATATTTTTTTTCGATATAATTATAGTTTTTTATTTTAAAGAATTGCTAATACAGAAACAAGTTCAATAAC